CTTCCTTAGGGGAGCTCTTATCTCCTGGTTGGCTGTGCACTCCCTTCTGGTTCTCCCTTTCTGCTTTGAATTGTTTGTGAGACCTTGAAGCTTTAGCATCCATCCAGGAGAGTCAGCCCCATTTTTTTCTAGTAGTGTTTCTTCTTCCTTAAAAGAAAACAGGGAGAGGTTATGTGAAAGCCAGTTTGATCCTGTGTTAACCTACTTATGCCTAGGGTTCCATTATTGGAACGCTAGGCATGTGGGAGTTATTTATATCCTGCTCAAGGTCATTAGCAAGGTCTGATTTTTTTACTCAAAAAATTGCAACCTACAGTGTAAATGGGTTAAGACCACAGGACAGGAAGGGGCTTCACTCAGGCTTTCCATGAGTCTCCCACCTCCTCACTTCTCTTAAGATGATCAGCGCTCATGATTTTTGGTCCTTCTATGCTTCCTCTCCTGCCTTTTTCTCACCTGGTGGTACCACTGTGGCCAGCTGCAGAGAGATTCCTGCCTTTTTGGGTCATTGTTAGTTGGGAGAAGTTTCTGCTATCATGACTATTTCTGCATTTTTTTCCTCTGCATTTTTTTGCTTCTTTATAAGTTGCTGGGGATGGTAATTAGTGTAATTTTCCATAGAGCTTCTTTGGAGAGCTTGGAACTGTTTAGGATTGTTCCAAGCTGGCTCTTTCTTTGGCCACTAGCCCTTTTTTATGTTTGTTTGTATTAGTTTGTTTGCATTTTTAAAAACACTGTTTGCTGTTTATACCTTCAGGGAGGGAGATCTTCATGTCAGACTTCACCGCACCATCTTAAACCAGAAGTTTAACTTACAGCTGTTAAAATTTGTTGCCATTGAGTAAACTGCCAGCTCCATTTTTATCTCCTGTTATCTCACCCTCAAGCTTTTTGAGTTCTTATCTTTAGGTTCCTTGGTCTGTGAATTCAGGTGCACCCTGGCATGTTGATATATATATATACCCAGTAGTGCCCCTGTTTGAGAAGCATGGGAAATTAAAAGGAAATTTATTCAAATAAAGACACAGTTTTCTGTTCACTTAGGTAACTGGCATCCTCTTATTAAACCAACACATTTAATTCCATGAAACGTAAGTTTAGAACAGAAAGTACCACCTACCTCCTCTTCTTTGACTAGGAATATGAACCTGTTCATTAATTGAACATTTAAATCCATTAATTAAACAATTAACTATATCTTGTTAAGGGTAAGGAGAATAAATCTAGATTGGAAAAAGACATTTTGTTTAGCTGTTTTGCTTATCATAGATATAAAAGAGTAGAAGGTCCGATGAGCTGTTTATTCCAGAACAAGGGTTGGCAAACTGTGGCCTGCAGGCCAAATCCAGCCTGACACTTGCTTTTGTAAATTGTTATTGAAAAACAGCCTTGCCCATTTTTTAATATATTATCTATGGCTGCCTTTGTATTAGAACAGCAGAGTTGAGTAATTGCAACAGAGACCATATGGTCTAAAATATTTATGATTTGGCCCTTTACAGAAGAACTTGGCTGATCACTGTATTCTAATTTTTAACCTTGGGAATTCCTCACATTGTCTTAATTAATTTTTCTAATGAAGATTAATTACAAATTTTTAAAGAGTGTGTTTTTGAGTTTCTTTTTCTCACTTCTCATTGATCCTAGTGAGATCACCATAGGTGAGAAAAAGAAACTCACAGGAACAAACAGCTCTGCCAAAGTACAGTTCCCCTCGGAGCTGTCTGTCTCCCTCCTCACCAAAGGCAGGCATCTGTTGATTGCTGCCTTAGGGCGTTGTGTCTACTTTACCAGAAGCCAGTTGTCACATAGAGCAGAGATTCACCTCTACCTGCTCTCAGTTTACTGAACTTGATCTGCCTCTTTACTGTTCTTTTGTGATTCTTACAGGAATAATGAACATTTGAGCCTTCCCTGAGTCATTTACTTTCCCTAACTTTACTCACAGACCAATGGGAAACAGAGCAAGAAGGCTCCCCCTTCACTGCATCCCCAGTGGCTAGCATGGTGCCTGGCACATACAGCAGTTGTGTTGAGTAAATACTAGCTGTGTGAACGACTTGGGCCTTGTACAGAGTGTCTATCCAGATGGGTTTGTTCTGGCAGCTGTCTCTGGAAGAGTCTCACTGGCACAATGGTGACTTTGCAGAGCTTCCTGTTTCCTCTTTCTCATGACAATCTGCCTTGTCTCATTTATGGCACAGAGAAAGGTCAATTTCAGGCCAGTAATCATTGATAATTTTTTTCCCTTGTCCCAGGCGGTGGTTATCATGGGTGTGGTGCTACAGGGTGCCAACCTGTATGGTTACATCAGGTGTCAGGTGGGCAGCAGAAAGAATTTAACCAGCATGGCTACTTCATATCTTGGAAAGCAGTTTTTAAGACAAGTAAGTGTTTTCTGGATGTTATCAGTGACTAATGTAGTGATTTTTAACTTTTATAGTTTAATTTTTATGAAATGCTCCTTAACAGAAGTTTTTTTTTTTAAGGCATATGCTTATTTAAATGTAAGATAAATATGTTTGAATTGCTCTTTGGAGGTGTTGAAGACATTCTGGAAGTGTGTTGTCAGTATCCTAAAATTATTTTTAAAGCCAGGAAAGATAAACTATCATTGATAGTAACTTGTTTTTAAAAAATTACTTTAGGTTCATTTGTTTTTCATTAACTGTGGGAGCTTTAAGTGAATGTCCTTGAAGAGTGTATGTTGTATGGTTTTAGGGAGAGCAGTTGATTTTTCTTTCCCCCTAGAACATAAAAGGTTTTACTATAATACCCCCATGTCAGGGTTTTCAGGAGGATAAGTAGTAATCATAGACAAATAATCGTTGGTTAAATCTCTTGGGAAAAATGAGTATGTCTTTATATGAGTAATACCTTGCATTTGGTTAGTACAGTAGGTTGGGGAAGTGATGTTATATGTTATATGGGACAGGGATTCTCAAACTCGAACATAGATGAGAATCACCTAGAGGGCACAAGATTGCTGGGTTCTGCCCCCAGGCTGCTTATTCAGTGGATCTGGGGGTGGGGTCTCATAATTTGCATTTCTCCTAAGTTTTCACGTGGTACCGAGGGCGCTGGTCCAGGGTTTACATTTTAGATAACTAAAGCCCTAAGAAATTAAATGATTTACTTAAGATCATACAGCTAATAAGTGATACAAAGCTAGATCTTGAACCCAGCTCTCTCTACTCAAAATGTATTGCTCTTTTTATTTTACCATACAGTTTCTCTTACAGAAGATGAAAAGTAGAGAAAATGAGTATTTGTGTAGGGACATGTCATCTCATTCTGAAGGATTTTTGCATGGCCCAGTATATCTTTACTGTAGTCCACCTTAGGGTAACTTGCATGTATGTGCTTATTAGGTTTTTTCCCTTAGAATTTTCAGTGTTTCTGAAGGTGTGGAGGGACATGGAATACAGGTGAAATTAAGCCTTAAGCCTGACGTAGCATGGATAGGGTTAGTATCTTACATGGTACCTGGCATCTGCTCAAATGGGACTAATTAGACAGCTGGGTAGATGATGGTATCCATGGATTTACTTCTGTAGCATGTCTACTTTTTAAGGTGATTGGGTGTATGTAAGGCCATGCTCTGCTTAGAAATATAGAATGTTTTCCTAGGCGTAGGCCTTGAAGTCCATGATGTGTGAAGTGAAATCACTTTGATATTAAGGAGTTTTTGTCTTTTGCAGAACACTGGAGGTGATCAGACTTTCTGAAGAGAGAAAGATTATGCGCTTTGTTACATTGGGGAACAACTGAAGAGATTCTTGACTCTGAACCTTTTAGAGCTGAGTCCATGTTGCAACAAGGAGTGTTGGCTTTGTTTTTCCACTTAAAAACTTTATTTATAAAAAGAAAAAGTAGTTTTCTTATTAAGCTTTTATATCCTTTCTAGCAATTGGGGCTAGAAAGTATTATGTTGACTCTAGAAACGTTGTCAAGATTTGTTCTGTGGTGTAGGTATGCACATGGCTATGTAGTATCAATATATCCCAAGTTAGTGAAAGTGTTCATTTACGTAGGTAAGAGAGACCTTTGTATTTTGATCCACAGAACACAGAAGGATGTGTTTAGTCTGTCCGAAAGCTCTATGTGTTTACATATTATTTCTTTAGATTATTTTCAAAAGTAAGTTTTGCTTCCATGGTTAAGAGTGAGCACTTTGGCTTATGTATAAGTTAGAAATAATTATTAGTTTTTAATATGTACTTCATGGGGAAATTTCTTAGACATATGCAAGCAAGCGAAAACAATTAAGGCCAATGATAACTACTTTCTAAAATTTTATTTTTGTCTGTAAGAAGTCATTTACTTAAGGCCCAGTTAATATAAATGGAATCATCGTAGTTTGTTTAAGGAATACCCAGAGATTGCTGCTGTTCTATTTGTTTTCAGAAAGGATAGCTAGATAGAAAACTCTTCAGTGGACCTTGAGCTAATAAATGTATCTTTTACCTAAAGAGCATTATTCTCATGTGATAATGGGAATAATCATTTATATACTTGGCATAATAAATGCCTAAAAAGACATTTTATTTTCTGAATCTATTTTTTTCTTGCTATAATGGGGATATTGTAAATTATGCATTTGTATTAATGGTATTTCTTAAAGCAATAGATGTAACTAAACTAAACCAATCTACATACTGTTGTAGGCATCTGTAAATTCTGTTGTAGGTTCTATAAACTTTGTTGAAGTCTTAATCAGCAGATTATGTTGTAAATATATTTGTACATGTTAAAGATATTTTTAAGATTATTTGTTTATTGAATAAGTGTCTCATTGGAATGATAGCTTTGAAGGTGCAAAACTTTATATTTGTATAAAATTCTACTGTTTACAAGGCATTTGACATGTGTAATCTCATTTAACCCTCATGACAAATACGTAATACTTTAGATGATGAAGCTGAACTTCAGGTTATTGAATGACTTTCCCAAGGAAAACAGACTACAGGAGTATCTGTAGGCTATAAAACACGATATATTAGTATTTAGAGAAAGTATTTGCTCTAAATGCTGTTTCCTTTCTTAAGAATTACTAATTTATTAAGGGCTTGTTTAGTTTACTTATATTCAGCTGTTCTGTCTGGTGAGAAAAGTTGGTACTTCACTAAAGACATTTTAAAATTTAACCTGTAAGATCTAACCTAAATCTTTAGGGTTAGAGTCTAACAGAGGATACACTGGCATAGTTCTTTGGGTAACTGTGTGATTTGAACTGCAATTCTAAACCATGAAACAACTGAATTTTAGAATATGCACATGGCAGGAGCTATCATGTATTCCCTAATAATTGTTTTTCTCCTATGATTTCCCACTTACTTCGCTAGGGCATGACATCCTGGAATAGAGATAACTTTTCCTAGATTTTATTGTTATATCTTGGTGTGGCTACATGACAAAGTTTAGGCCAATGGGGACACTTCCAGGAAGTATCCTTAAAAGGAGGAGGCATGCCCATCCCTTCCCCTTTTTTCCTGATAGGCAGACAGAATAGCTGGAACTAGAGCAGCCGTCTTGGACTATGTGGTAAAGGCCTTGTTTTGTGAATGGCAGAGAAATGAGGTAGATACTCTCTGAATCCCATCTTGGAGTATAGCAGCCCCGAACTGCCTGACTGACTTTTTTGTTTTGAGATGGAGTTTTGCTCTTGTCACCCAGGCTGGAGTGCAGTGGTGTGATCTCAGCTCACTGCAACCTCTGCCTCCTGGGTTCAAGCAATTCTCCTGCCTTAGCCTCCCTAGTAGCTAGGATTACCACCATGCCCGGCTAATTTTTGTATTTTTAGTAGAGACAGTGTTTCACCACATTGGCCAGGCTAGTCTTGAACTCCTGACCTTAGGTGATCCGCCCGTCTCCGCCTCCCAAGGTACTGGGGTTATAGGTGTGAGCCACCGTGACTGGCCACCTGTCTGAACTTTTAAGTGAAGGAAACCATCTTCTTTAAGTGTTACTGTTCTGGCTTCTCTGTTACTCAGCCTAACTGGATTCTTGTCAATACAGTGCACTTTGAGCATTATTTATGATTATTTCCATTTGTACTTTCTAAATTATACTAACAACTCCAGTTATTAGTACAGTAGTAGAGATGTGATAATTTAGTAAATACATATTTGACCTTTATGTAGTAATTAAGTGAAAAGTTATAGGTGCCAATGAGTTGCACTGTTCCAGGGGCTGTTGCTACATAAAAATGTATCCCCAGAATTACTGGCGAAAAACATGTTATTTTATTATGCTTACAAATTCTGCGGGACAGGAATTTGGATGGAGCACAGTGATGGCTGGGGAAGGAGCCAGGCAGTGGCAGTGAGTGGCGGGGAGCTTTTCAGCCACTGGCCTGGAGGTTGACATTGGCCATCAGCTGTGGCCTCAGCTAGGCTGTGGGTTGGAACACGTACACTGTGTAGTTTCTCCCTGTGGACACATTTGGCTTCTTCGCAACTTGGCACTGGGTTCCAGTGAGTCCTTCCGAGAGCAAGAAAAGTGCATGGCATTTTAATTTTAATGACTAGCCTTGGAATTCACATGATGTATCTTCTGTCATACTCTATTGGATGAAGCAGTAACCAAGGTCTGTTTGGGTTCAATAGAAGGGAACATAGAGCCCACTATTTGAAGAGAGGAGTGTTAAGATTACATAATAATAAGAGTATGTGGGATGGGAAATACTCTTTGGAAAATAAAATCTGTGACACTAATCATTTCCTTAAGACCGGAGAAATTGCTTGGGAGAGACTGAGGATCAGTGGTTTTCCTTTTTATTGTCCCTGGGTCAGCCTTAGATACAGGTGAATTGACTGAATGGTGCGATTAAAATGAAAGTAGCATCCCGTTCTAATTCTACAGCTGCCAGAGTATCTCTATTCTTTGACTTACACCTCTAAATAGATAGGTAAGGATGTGTGTATGTGTAGAGGTGATGGCACATTAATTCCAACATGTAGGTACTGTGGGCCTTCTAAATCTGTATAACTCTTAGAGCTTATTAAAGTTATTTTATGTATTATGTGATTCTCCTCAAGAGGGAAGAATGACCATTATGTACCACGTAACCTCATGTTACAGGTAGGTAACTAATACTGGCAGAAGTTAATTTGTTGAAGGTTGCATGTAGTAAGGATAGTAATACTCACTAGATGTCCCATTTGTTCTACATTTCCCAGTTTCCTTAATTAGTTTGAGGCCACGTGGTTAGCAATGGCCAATGAAATGTGAAAGTGAATAGAGATGTTAGGTGCCTGAATGGCGTAGGACAGTTACAGACAACAAAGAATTGTCCTGTATTCATGACTTCTTCGTACCTCGCTGAACAATTACGTACATGGAAATCCTGTTTATAATGAGAAAGGAAAAGCAACCCTACACCTGGCAGCTGAAAGCTGACCTTGCCCTAATGGCTAGGCTATTATACTCTGTTGAATATAAACAATGTTATAGAAGAGCAACAACTGACAAGGCCACTGAGTGTGGTGGAGGAAGACAAAAATTAGGACACTCTATAGTCATGTTCAAACATAGAACAAGATTCTGTACAAATCATAAAGAGTGACCAGACATTCTGCCTCTTGGCTGACATGAGTGATAGTTGCTCCATTACCCATTAGATCACTCTGCTCCCCCTTCCTCCTAGATGAAAAATTTTATTTACACTCACTTAAAATTGTCCTTGCTTTCTGAAAGCACTCAATCCAGAGTAAAACGATGATTCATGGAGCCCTTCTTCAAACCACCCAACACAACCCCAAATCCTATAAAAAGCCCTTCCGCTCTTCCTCCCTACGCGCGGCGTGGAGCGGCGCGGAGGCGGCCAGGCGGAGGCTGGGCTCGGGCGTCCGTTCGCGGCCGGCTGGCAAGCGCGGGCAAACGCCGCAACCCGAGCCGCCGCCGCCGCCGCCGCCGCCGCCGCCGCGCCGCCTCCGCCGGCCGCGGGGCCTCGGGGCCGCTGGGTCCGTCGCGGGCAGCGAGAGGCGGGCTGGCGTGCGGGCGGCGGAAGGAGGCGGAGGAGGAGGAAGAGGAGGAGGAGGCGGCGGCCGGGAGCCGGGTGAGAGGCGCGGAGGGTGGGCCGGGGAAGGGGAGGAGCGGGATTTGCGGAGCGCCGCGCCGCTGCCGGGAGCCGGCGGGCACGAGAGTGACCGGAGTCACGGTGGGCGCCGGCGGAGCCGCGGCGTCGGACCCGCCTCCTGGAGGAGCTCAGCCCCGACCAGGCCCGTCCCCATTCCCGCCCCGCGCCGCCTCCCCGCCGCCGCCGCCGCCGCCGCCGCCGGAGCGCTCCCCTGCCCACCCCGCCCCCGCGGCCGAGCCCAGGAGTCCAGTGGGAGTCGGCCGGCCGGCGCGGGCAGCGCCGGGACCCCGCGGGGGACACTGCAGCCGGAGCCCGGGAGGGGCCGCGCCGCCACCGTCTGAACTAGGATTTCCCGACATGAAGGTGTCAGCTGTGATGCATGTTTAAAAGGAAATTTTCGAGGTCGCAGATATAAGTGTTTAATTTGCTACGATTACGATCTTTGTGCATCTTGTTATGAAAGTGGTGCAACAACAACAAGGCATACAACTGACCACCCAATGCAGTGCATATTAACAAGGGTAGATTTTGATTTATACTATGGTGGGGAAGCTTTCTCTGTAGAGCAACCACGGTCTTTTACTTGTCCCTGTTGTGGAAAAATCGGCTATACGGAGACATCTCTTCAAGAGCTTGTTACTTCTGAACACGCAGAAACATCAACAGAAGTGATTTGTCCAGTATGTGCAGCATTACCTGGAGGCGATCCTAATCATGTCACGGATGACTTTGCAGCTCATCTTACACTTGAACACAGAGCCCCTAGAGATTTAGATGAATCGAGTGGTGTTCGACATGTATGTAGAATGTTTCACCCTGGCCGGGGATTAGGAGGTCCTCGTGCTCGTAGATCAAACATGCACTTTACTAGCAGTTCTACTGGTGGACTTTCTTCTTCTCAGAGTTCATATTCTCCAAGCAATAGGGAAGCCATGGATCCTATAGCTGAGCTTTTATCTCAGTTATCGGGAGTGAGACGTTCTGCAGGAGGACAGCTTAATTCCTCTGGCCCTTCCGCTTCTCAGTTACAACAACTGCAGATGCAGCTGCAGCTAGAACGGCAGCATGCCCAGGCAGCACGGCAACAACTGGAGACCGCACGCAACGCAACCGGGCGTAGTAACACAAGCAGTGTCACCACTACAATCACACAATCCACAGCAACAACCAACATAGCTAATACAGAAAGCAGTCAGCAGACTCTCCAGAATTCCGTTTCTTTTAACAAGGTTGAATGATCCTAAAATGTCTGAAACGGAGCGCCAGTCCATGGAAAGCGAGCGTGCGGACCGCAGCCTGTTTGTCCAAGAGCTCCATCTGTCCACTTTAGTGCGTGAAGAGAGCTCGTCCTCAGACGAGGATGATCGGGGAGAGATGGCAGATTTTGGTGCTGTGGGCTGTGTAGATATTATACCTTTAGATGTTGCTTTAGAAAACCTAAATTTAAAAGAGAGTAATAAAGGAAATGAGCCTCCACCACCTCCTCTTTGATGACATCCCAATTCGCAGACAGTGCCCTCTGTGCTGTATTTGCCAATGTAAGTGGACAACAACTATCTTGGGTTTGTTTGGTGATTGTAATTTCAGGTCTGTCACTCTTGTTACATTGTGTACATTCAAAAGGAAGAGAGAAAATATATATGATAATCATTTCCACTTAACTAATTTTTACTTCTAGCAGGTAAATGTAGGTAGCAGTGCAGGGGTGATCTCTGCTTCCTGTACCTTGACATGCAAAAGGCTCTCCTAATATTCCACATTCAAACTGAAGAGGAAAATTGAAATCTCTAATGAAGCTGCTGTGTGTATTTATGAATATTAATGAATAAAAACTGCTTGGATGGTTTAAAAAAAAAAAAAAGCCCTTCCCAGCACCCTCATACTGAGGCACCCCATGGTTCCTCATGGTATGTGGTCTCTGTTGTGCAAAAGTGTGCTAATAAACCCAACTCGATTGAACCTCCGCAGAGCTGTTCCTCACGATCTCGAACTGGTGGACATTGACAATAATTTTTTGAGCCTAGATGATAACTTCATTTTATATTTTTGTTGTTGCAGATCTGCAATACTTGACTTACCCAATGAAGTGAGGGAAGGTTGTAGTCTTGTTCAGTACTTTAGCAAGAGTTTTCCATCATTTTGAAAGTTGTCACTAGCGACAACATGGCTCCTGGCATTTGAGTTCCAAGTCAAAACTGCAGTGGTCTGTATTTGTAGTGGCCACATTAATGGTAATTATATGTACATATGCAAGTATCTAATCATTGTGTCTTCAGGAGTTTTGGCCATTCATTTCTAGATTGAATTACATATTACCATAGGTTGCTTCATTTTATTTCTCTGTTACATTACAGTTATTAAAGGTATTAAAGATACCTTTAATCATGATAGATGATTTATGCCTGAGGTAAGTTATATTGTGTTGTAGAATAATAAAACACGTTTAAAACTATTCTGATAAAAAGTGGCTGTGGGCCTGAAGGGGTGAAAACTATTAGTCTACAGTCATTGATGAACAGTTTGTTCCTTAGGCCCTCTTAGTTGGAGCTGGAGTGTGGGTAGATAAGGACTTGAGCTCTGATGTTCTAATATTCTGTGCTGCTTACTGAAGGTAGATGCCATATGCTTTGGAAACCAGAATGGACATTTTATGACATTTGAGAAGTGAAGCAATTTTCTCACTCAGGCGGTCTATCATAGCTGGTAATTTCTAGTGTTCTAAGTGACTGTAGTAGATGCTGCTTATGTTAATTTAAGAGAAATCCTATGTATCCCATTAAAAGAAAAATCCTAGAGAAGCATTTCCGCAATGGTGGAGTATGGATCTTTGAATATCTGATTCTGCATAAAATCAACGAGGACACTGGCAGAAATGGTCAAAATAAGCTTTTTGAAACTCCGGAAATCAACAAAAGGATTACAAGAACTCAAAGAAAATATATTTGAGCGAAAGTCTGAATCTCTGTATGAACAGTAAGCTTTGTGGTGTTTTAACTTGCCCCGTCCCCATCTTCTCCCAACTCCACAGTAGCCTTGAAAATCAGCAACCTTGAGACCACAGTAGCTGTGAAAACCAGTAGCCTAGAAACCACTGGAAGAATTCAGAGTGCCCCCAGGATAGGTTTGGAGTTTTCCAAGAAGCCCCATCCCCAGAGATCTGTCACTCTTTGACCTGTCTGGTAGCTCCCTGGAATAGTCCCAATCACAGGCTTGTCTTCATTTAACCTGATTCAGGTCATTCAATGAGGAAAGCCCTATCCTCAGGTTATTTGTCAGAAAAATTGGTGGCAATCGTTTAAACAGCACAGTTGCCTGACAGGTATATACGAGCTGGGACAAACGGGACTGGCCAGAAAACTTAAAAGAAAAATAAGGGGAGTGTGATGTCTGTAGAGGCTTTGAAAAGTGCCAAAATATCCTCGGGAGCTAGAAAGGCAGGGAAAGATGAGAGACTAATTGCTTCAACTACTTGAGGAAATCCCTGTCTAATCATATGTTCAAGACTAAAGTAACCAAGCAGAGATTTCGGTGACTGCACAGAACAAAAAATACAGACTTAACGAAATTAGTCCAGGAAAGGTACTACACATGCCACCATCACACTAAAAATGACAACAAATAGTAATAGTAACAAACCCTGCAAAGGTGGGGGGTGTGGGACAAATCTGATTTCCAGAGTTGTCACCTTACTTAAATTTTCCAGTTTTCAACAACAAAAGACGTGAAGAGACAGGAATTATGGCCGCCTGTGTATGGGGGGTGGGGGAAGAAAGCTCAGAAAACAGAAACCATCCTTAAGAAAACCCAGACATTGGATCTACTAGACAAAAAGTTTGTCAACCTTCAAATATGCTTTAGAAACTAAAGGAAACAATGGACAAAGAACTAAGAGAAAGGAAAATAATGTATAAAATGTGGAAATATCAGTAAACAGAAAATATGAAAGAAATTCTGGAGCTAAAAAACTGTAATAAATGACAAGTTTCTTAGGCTTACAGGTTAGAACAGGCAAAAGAATCAGCAAAACTTGAAAACAGGACAAATGTAAGTATCCAGTCTGAGGAACAGAAAGAAAAAATGAAGAGTGAACAGAGCCTAAGGGATCTGTGGGATGGTATCAGGTTACCAACATAGGCATTGCAGAAGTTCCAGAAGATGAAGAGAAAAGGGCAGAAATAATATCTGAAGAAATAATGGCTGAGACTTCCCAAATTCAATGAAATACATGAGCCACACATTCAAAAAGGTCAACGAATTATCAATAGGATAAACTCCAAGAGCTCCATTACTAAACACATCGCAGTTGGGCTGTCAAAAGCCGGAGACAGAGAATCTTTAAAGCAGCAGGAGGAAAACAACTTATGTATGAGGGATCCTCAATAAGATTAAATGCCTACTACTCATCAGAAGCTACAGAGGTAGTTTGTTCTATGACATATTCATAGACAAGTGCTAAAAGGAAAAAAACCAGAATTTTAGATCCAACAAAACTATGCTTCAAAACTGTAGGAAAGGATGAACATGGTGGCTCACACCTGTAATCCCAGTACTTTAGGAGGCCAAGGCAGCAGGTTTGCTTGAGCCCAGGAATTTGAGTCCAGCATGGGCAACATGGTAAAAAGCCATCTCTACAAAAAGTACAACAAACAGCTAGGTGTGGTGGCATGTGCCCGTGGTCCCAGCTACTTGGGAGGCTGAGGCAGGAGGATCATTTGAGTCTGGTAGGTTAAGGTCCTGATCATATCACTGCACTCCTGCTTGGGTGACAGAATAAGACCCCTCCCTCAAAAAAAAAAAAAAAAAAAGAAAAAGAAAAGCATACCCAGATAAAAACTAAGAGAATTCACTGCTAGCAGGTCTGCCTTAGAAGAAATGCTAAAAGTCGTCCTTCAGGCTGAAATGAAAGGACAGTAGACAGTAACTCCAATCCACATGAGGAAATAAAAAGCATCATTAAAGGTAACTACATAGGTAGACATGAAATAGAGTATAAATGTATTTTTGTTTGTAATCCTTTTCCTGTCTGACCTAAAGACAGCTACATAAAGCAATACTTATAGTTTTGATAGGGTTATAACTTACAAAGATGCAACTTGTATGATGATAATAGCACAAAGGAGGAGGGAGGGAATAGAGGTATATTAAAGATTTTGGGCTGGGCACGGTGGCTCACGCCGGTAATCCCAGTACTTTGGGAGGCTGAGGTGGGCGGATCACGAGGTCAGGAGATCGAGACCATCCTGGCTAACATGGTGAAACCCCGTCTCTACTAAAAAATACAAAAATTAGCTAGGCAGGCATGGTGGCGTGTGCCTGTAATCCCAGCTACTCGGGAGGCTGAGGCAGGAGAATTGCCTGAACCCAGGAGGCAGAGATTGCAGTGAGCCGAGATTGTGCCACTGCACTCCAGCCTGATGCCTGGCGACAGAACAAGACTCTGTCTCAAAAAAAAAAAAAAAAAAAGTGTTTGAGTATTACTGAAATCAGCTTGGCATTAATCTGAACCTAGCTTATGTTTAGATATTAAGCATAGTGCCTAGGGCAACCACTAAGAAAAGTCTCAATAAAAATACAATAAGAGGAACAAGAAGGAAATTAAAATGATATACTAGAAAATACCTATTTAATACAAAAGGCAGTAGTAGAGAAAGGAAATCAAAAGACATAGGACGCATAAAAGAAAAAGCAAATATCCCAGATAAAACTCCCACCTTATCAGTAATTGTATTAAAAGTAAATCAATTAAATATTCCAATCAAAAGAGATTGGTGGCCAGCACAGTGGCTCACACATGTAATCCCAGCACTTTGGGAGGTCGAGGTGGGTGGATCGGATCACTTGCGGTCAGAAGTTTAAGACCAGCCTGGCCAACATGGTGAAACCCCATCTCTACTGAAAATACAAAATTCGCTGGGCATGGTGGTGGGCGCCTGTAATTCCAGCTACCCTGGAGGCTGAGGCATGATAATCTTTTGAAGTGGGGAGGTGGAGGTTGCAGTGAGCCGAGATCGCGTCACTGCACTCCAGTGTGGGTGACAGAGCAAGACTCCATCTCAAAAAAAAAAAAAAAAAAAACAGATTGGCAAAAAACATGATCCAACTATACAACTATATACTGTAAGAGGCACATTTTAGATTCAAAGACAAAAACGTAGAAAGTAAAAGTATAGAAACAGATACACCATGCAAACAGTAACCAAAAGATAGCTGGAGGTACAACGCTGATGCCAAACAAAACCGATTTTTAAGACAAAAACTGTTTCAAGGGACAAAGAAGGATATTGCATATTGATAAAAGGGCCAATCCATCAGAAAGACATTAACACTTAAAAACAAATATGCACTTTAAAAATCCCATACATGAAGCAAAAGCTGACAAAATTAAACAATTTAATAATTACTAACAATTTACTTTTTTTTTATTTTTGAGACAGAGTCTCACTCTGTCACCCAGACTGGAGTGCAGTGGTGCTATCTCGGCTCACTGCAACCCCAGACTTCCAGGTTCAAGCAATTCTCCTGCCTCAACCTCCCAAGTAGCTGGGATGACAGGCCCACACCATCGAGTCAGGCTAATTTTTATAGTTTTAGTAGAGATTGGGTTTCACCATGTTGGCCAGGCTGGTCTCTAACTCCTGACCTGTAGTGATCTGCCTGTCTCGGCCTCCAAAGTGCTGGGATTACAAGGGTGAGCCATCGCGCCCAGCATAACAATTTGCTCTTAATAATTATTAATAACTAAACGAGATAATCCATGTAAAAGAGTCAGCATCCGGGCGTGGTGGCTCATGCCTGTAATCCCAGTACTTTGGGAGGCTGAGGCGGGTGGATCACAAGGTCAAGAGATCGAGACCATTGTGGTCAACATGGTGAAACCCCGTCTCTACTAAAAAAAAAAAAAAAAAAAAAATGCAAAAAGTTAGCTGGGCATGGTGGTGCATGCCTGTAATCCCAGTTACTCAGGAGGCTGAGGCAGAAGAATTGCCTGAACCCAGGAGGCGGAGGTTGCGGTGAGCCGAGATCGCACCATTGCACTCCAACCTGGGTAACAAGAGCGAAACTCCATCTCAAAAAAAAAAAAAAAAAAGAGTCAGCATAGTCCCAGATACATGGTAAGCACTTCATGATGATACCTTATTTAGAAGGAAAAACTGAGTTGCTTTGCTAGTTAAAGGTGAAGAAGTCAGAAAATCTAACAATAGTGGCTGGAGATATCACCACTTCATTCATCATAATGCATAGAAGAAGGCAGATGATCAACTAGGAAAAAGAGGATTCCACAGCACTATAAACAAACTAAATCTGCTGGGCACGGTGGCTCATGTCTGTAATCCCAGCACTTTGGGAGGGCAGAGTGGGCAGGTCACTTGAGGTCAGGAGTTTGAGACCAGCCTGGTCAACATGGTGAAACCCCATCTCTACTAAAAATACAAAATCAGCCGGGTGTGGTGGTGCATGCCTGTAATCCCAGCGTCTCAAGAGGCTGAGGCAGGAGAATTGCTTGCTTGAACTCTGGAGGCGGAAGCTGCAATGAGCGATCTTGCCACAGCACTCCAGCCTGGGTGACAGAGTGAGACTCCATCTGAAAACAAACACAAACAAACAAACAAACACAAAAACAAAAGACAGGTATCTATAGAGACTCTATCCAGCAGCAGCCGACTACATATTCTATGCAAATGTGCATGGAACATTCTCCACGATAGACTATATGTTAGGCCATACAACAGGCTTCAATACATTTAAAATAATTAACGTCAAACAAAGTATAATATAATCTTTGGTCAAAATGGAATTAAATTAGAAATGAACAACACATTCGTGAATCTGAGAATTCAGAAAGATGTGCAAATTAAACAACATGTTGCTAAATAACCAGTGGGTCAAAGAAGAAATCACAAGGGAAATTAGAAAATACTTTGAGATTAATGAAAATGCAAACGCAACATACCAACACTTACGGGATGCAGCTATAACAGTATTTATAGAGAAATTTATAACTGTAAACACTTTTTTTTTTTTAAAGAAGAGATCTCAAATCTACGATCTCACCTTTCGTCTTAAGAAATCAGCAGATGACCGTGGTAAAGTAAGCAGAGGAAAAAAATAATAGATTAGAAAGGAAATAAAAATCATAAAGACTAGAAAAACGATAGAGAAAATCAACAAAACTAGAAGTTTGTTCTTTAACAGGATTAACAAAATTGACAGACCTGGAATCAGATTGAAAGAGAAGATCTCATTACTGTTTACTGAAAAAGCAATGGGTTATCCCAATAGAATATACATCGCTTTACACCTATTTTTGGTGTGGACTTTCTGTTAAGCATTCAAACGTTCCTTCTCCAAAAAGTGCTGTCCACGAATTGTTTCATCCTCATAACATTCTTAGAATGCAGAAGCTGTTGTATTTAGTAAATGGTAATCATTAAGAATTTGAATTCAGGCAGATCTGAGTTGTGGATTAATTCAGTATCCTGGTTTAGACTTTGAGAAAATCACTTTTCCCATTTTTTTTTTTGAGATGGCGTCTCGCTCTGTCGCCAGGCTGGAGTGCAGTGGCGTTACCTCAGCTCACTGCAACCTCCACCTCCCGGGTTCAAGTGATTCTTCTGCCTCAGCCTCCCGAGTAGTTGGGACTACAGGCATGCGCCACCATGCCCAGCTAATTTTTTTTTGTATTTTTAGTAGAGACGGGGTTTCACCATCTTGGCCAGGATGGTCTCGTGATCTGCCCGCCTCAGCCTCCTAAAGTGCTGGGATTACAGGTGTGAGCCACCGCGCCTGGCCACTTATCCCGTTTTTACAGATGAGGCAGCAGGCTGAGAGCCATAAGCACAAATACTTACCCTATTGAGGTGGGAGGAGCTTGTGAGGATTAAATGAGATAACTCATGTAAAACATTCCCTATAGTCCCAAGCCTACAGTAAGCACTTGATAACGGTAACTTGCTCAGATGGAAAACTCAGTTGCTAAGTTAACAGTGGAGTAGTCAGGAGACCTAACCCCTAGTTTGGTGGCTCCTCTTTAATTTAGGTTCTCATCTAGTATAGGACATGGATATTCCAAATGCAGCAAAGCAGTCAATTATAGGAGAGAATGCTGATTTTATTTTTTATTTTGTTTAGAACAAGTTAGAGATAATAAAAGAAAAACTTGAGACAAATTTAACAGTTGCAGTAAAGAATGATTCATGGGAATTAGGCTTTGCTCTGAAACATGGGCAGGGAGTATTTATAGGCAGAAGAAGCTGAAGAATGCAGAAACAAGGAAGACAAAGTGAATTGGTTGTTTCAAAGTTACCTTCCTTGGAAAGGTTAAAGCAGAGGGGACTTCCTTATCAGGCAGGCTAAAACTGGCTCTCTAGATTTCTTGGAAGGTCAGATAAACAACGTAGTTTTGGCTTGGTGACCTGGAACTTTACTATGAGTAACTCCATTTTGGTCTCCTGGGGCCTCGTGCATGAACTCAGTCCAAACCAATGACCCCCTGTGAATTTTATGTAACAGAGATCATAAGTTTACGAGCCGGTAACTTGCTATCACATTCATTCTAATTTATTTTATAGTTAAAGCACATCCTGTTATTTATATTTTTTGGATAATTGTTGAAATCCAGCACTGCTACAAATGAGTTTTAATGGCTTTTAAACATTTCTTCTAGGATATTGCCTTTCTCTGCAAGCCCAGTTCCTTCTTCTTGCTTGTAACTTGCACTAGATCCTCTAGATGGCAATATACTAACGTATGATGTAAATGAAACAAACGGGTGCTGGAGCACCCGATTTACTTACTTGGTTTAGTAAGAAAGGATGGTTTTCCTACAAGTGGTGAGTTAAGACTAAATCCATGTATCTTATTGTGAAATTAGTCAAAAGCAGGGCAAGGGGATGAATAGATGAATAAATAAGTACAATAAAATACCCGCCATGTTCCAGACATCAAGACAGGTACTGTAGACACAGTGAGACATAAGAAGAACTATGTGTGATATGTGTCTACCTTCCTGATCTTGACAAACCCTGCCATTTAACAAGTGAGGAAACTGAGGATTAGGGGATATGTAGCTTTCCCAGGGTCATATACCTAAGGAGAGGTGAAGCCAGGACTTGTCAATGGTGAGGGGAAGATGATGAGCTTGAGTTCAAGATATGTCAGATTTGAAGCCAATGAGTCCTATCAAAGTAGCAAAGTGCAGTGGAAACCTGGAACTCAAGCTTAGGATCGGGCCAAAGGTATATGTTTAAGAGCAACTCTGTAGAGCAGAGTTGAAGCTGCAACAATGTAGGGGTGGTCTATGGCAACTGTGTCAGTTAAAGAACTGATAGCTGAAGCATAATTCCCAAAGAGCAAGGTGATAGGCAGAGGGTAAGGGCATACACAGTGCAGACAAACCTGAGTTTAAATCCTGGCTCCATACGTACTTGCTGTGTTGTTCATGGCATTTAACCTCTTAAATATGAGATAGTTAATCTCTTTGACTCTTTGCAATAACCCTATGAGGGAGATACTATCTCCATTTTACAGATGAGGAAACTGAGGGTCAGAGAATGTAGGAGTTGACCCAAGGTTATGGTGCATCTAGTACATGATGGAACCAAATTCATATCTGGATAGTCTGCGTTAGCATTACAGTGCTGAGTACCACATGCGATCATACCCCTTACAACACCACCTTTGTATGTGGGTCTCCTTGTGCCAGAGACGAACATGGGCATACGCACACACACACAGACACACATACACATGCACACGTACCCACACAGAGATTGACTGATTTCAAAGAGTTGGCTTATGCAGTTGTGGGAACTGACAAGGGCAGGCCCGCAGGCTGGAACTCTCAAGCAGGAGCTGATGTTGCAATCTTGAGGTCAACTTTCTACTTCCTCAGGGAAATCTTAAGTTTTGCTCATAAGGCCTTTAACTGACTGGATGAGACATTCCCACACAGTTAAAGGGTAAACTATTTTACTTAATGTTATCAGATTGTACGTGTTTATGAAATAGCTTCACAGCAAGCAACACCTAGTTTGATTAAATAACTCAGTACTAGCTAAGCTGAAACAAAAAATTAACCATCACATGCCTTCAGTTTTCTGTAAATGCTACCACAGCAGGAAGTCTATTTTTCTCATTTGCCTTCACACTGCCAGTGCATGGCCCAACGCTGGGCACCTAAAGGCACTCAATAAACATTTACTGGGCATGTACCCACCTTTTAACAATGAAGGTGAAAGCCGTGGTATACCTGCTGTTTTCAACCATTGACCTGGGCTAGGTACAGATTTTCAGTGTGTTGAACTCACACATTACTTTCTCTGGGGCTCCCTGAATGGAGCAGTGGAAGGATTGATCTCAAAGCAGGAGACAGATACACCTCCTTCCTGGAGATCTGGCTTGGCCAGCTGGGTAGTTTTCCTTTTCAGAAGATGAAGCAACTGATGGTCATTGCCAGAAGCCATGAGCAGGCCTGACACTGCCAAGAGCCAAGTGGTGATCCTGCTGGGACACTGCTCATGCACTGTGTCTGTTCTTAGCTCTCAGCGGGCATCTGTTTCCAGCTCCTGGTGCAATTTGCAACTTTGGGTCTTAGGATGAAGGTGTAAAGGTTTTAAAGCATCAAAACCTTCCAGGGGTAGATAAGAGTGTTTAGCTGTGGATCTATGAACCCCTATAGCCACTGTGTGCACCTCTCTGAGACGCCAGCAGCTGCTTTGGAGCAAACAGAGGGATGGAGAAGAGGATGCCACCCAGGTGATGGAAACATCATCAAAAGTTAGGATGTTCTCTAGAAAGCCTTTTTGGCTGTCTGATTTCATATCTCCTTCCTCATCAAAGAGAATGGCGTTGACTCCTACTTGAGAATTTAAACACGTCTAGAACACGTGCTTATCTTTTCCTATCTTCTGTCTCCAGGATCACATCATACTGCCTCCCAGAGTCCTGTCCTTAACCCCCTTCCTTAGAATTTACAGACTAGCCTGGCAACAACCAAGCCCTGATCTTTATTCTGAATTACCTAGGACAGAACTGGATCTGTGACAGATGCTCAAAGGCTGTTTAATCAAACAGGAAAAACGCATATTTGGAGCAGGGGGAGGCAAAATGTTACTCTCAATGATTTATAATATTTTAAAATGTGTCTAATAGAGAATATAAAACAAACCAGAGAAGCATAAAGGAAGGTCATGCTAATTTTCATGAAGTGTTTTCTAACTCCAGGAACACAATGGTAAAAGGGCATTCTAAGTTAAAGAAATTTCTTGTGTAGAGATGTGAGTAACACACACACATAAACACACACACATAAACACACACACACACACACACACACACACACCCCACTCTGTGCTGTAACCACAGGAAACACTTTATTCTCCTAATGTTCCAAGCTGTCTTCTACACAAATACTCTCTTCGACATAAACACAACAAAAGTAGGGTCTTGTAGTTCCAGGGCTGTTCATGGGAGATGTAGAAACGACAGTGTTCAAAATGACAGCACAGGAAATGGAGGACCCTGATGGGCGGGTCTGCATGGAGCGGTGGCACAGAGCTCCCGGATGAGCTACTGGATGAGGATGTGTCTGAATCCCAAAGCCTGACCTCGCCGGGGACAGGCGGCCCTCATCTTGAGCCTGTGGGACCCCCACAGGGCAGCGTGTGGTTTTGGATAAGTATTTGCGTGAATCCCAAAGCCTGACCTCGCCCAGGGACAGGCGGCCCTCATCTTGAGCCCGTGGGACCCCCACAGGGCAGAATGTGGTTTGGATGAGTATTTGCATGAATCCCAAAGCCTGACCTCGCCCGGGGACAGGTGGCCCTCATCTTGAGCCTGTGGGACCCCCACAGGGCAGCGTGTGGTTTTCGATGAGTATTTGCAAGAATCCCAAAGCCTGACCTCGCCCGGGGACAGGTGGCCCTCATCTTGAGCCCATGGGACCCCCACAGGGCAGCGTGTGGTTTTGGATGAGTATTTGCGTGAATCCCAAAGCCTGACCTCGCCAGGGGACTGGCGGCCCTCATCTTCAGCCTCTGGGACCCCCACCGGGCAGCGTGTGGCCTTGGGTCCTGGAAAAGCCACCGAAGAGTCCCTGGAGTCATGTTTGAAATGGCGGGGCATGGGATGGAGGACCCTGATGGGCGGGTCTGCATGGAGTGGTGGCACAGAGCTCCCGGATGAGGTACTGGATGAGGATGTGTCTGAATCCCAAAGTCTGACCTCGCCAGGGGACAGGCGGCCCTCATCTTGAGCCTGTGGGACCCCCACAGGGAAGCATGTGGTTTTGGATGAGTATTTGCGTGAATCCCAAAGCCTGACCTCACCCGGGGACAGGCGGCCCTCATCTTGAGCCTGTGGGACCCCCACAGGGCAGCGTGTGGTTTTGGATGAGTATTTGCATGAATCCCAAAGCCTGACCTCGCCCGGGGACAGGCGGCCCTCATCTTGAGCCCGTGGGACCCCCACAGGGCAGCGTATGGTTTTGGATGAGTATTTGAGTGAATCCCAAAGCCTGACCTCACCTGGGGACAGGCGGCCCTCATCTTGAGCCCGTGGGACCCCCACAGGGCAGTGTGTGGTTTTGGATGAGTATTTACGTGAATCCCAAAGCCTGACCTCACTTGGGGACAGGCGGCCCTCATCTTGAGCCTGTGGGACCCCCACAGGGCAGTGTGTGGTTTTGGATGAGTATTTGCGTGAATTTCAAAGCCTGACCTCGCCCGGGGACAGGCGGCCCTCATCTTGAGCCTGTGGGACCCCCACAGGGCAGCGTGTGGTTTTGGATGAGTATTTGCATGAATCCCAAAGCCTGACCTCGCTAGGGGACTGGCGGCCCTCATCTTCAGCCTCTGGGACCCCCACCGGGCAGCGTGTGGCCTTGGGTCCTGGAGAAGCCACCGCAGAGTCCCTGGAGGCATGTTTGAAATGGCGGGGCATGGAACGGAGGACCCTGATGGGCGGGTCTGCATGGAGTGGTGGCACAGAGCTCCTGGATGAGCTACTGGATGAGGATGTGTCTGAATCCCAAAGTCTGACCTCGCCAGGGGACAGGCGGCCCTCATCTTCAGCCTCTGGGACCCCCACAGGGCAGCGTGTGGTCTTGGGTCCTGGAGAAGCCACCTTAGAGTCCCTAGAGCCGTGTTTGAAATGGCAATGCAGGAAATGGTGGTCCCCAACAGTCACATCTCTGAGGAGCAGTGGCACAGAGCTCCTGGACATGCATTTCCATGGAATGTAAAGTCTGATCTTGCTGGAGGACAGACGGTTCTTATCTTCAGTCTTTGGGCTGTCTCTGTGTTCTTGGGGAGCCCCCTCATGCTGAGGGCCCTCAATCTGGGCCTTAGGGACAGCCCTGTCAGGTGAGGCTGTGGGAGGACAAGTCCTTTGTCGCAGGTGGTCTGATGGCATGAGCTCCTGGAGCTGAGCTGGTGGGGTGGGGAGGGTCTGTCTGTCCTCCTCACAGCGGGGCCCAATGCCAGAGGACACACCCGAGGACTCTTCCTTGAGCTTGGCTGGAAAAAGAAACAGAAGTAGTCGGCATCTTCACCGGGCCCATCTGTTCTCTTCAGGGCTACACCCCACAAGCCTGGGTCTCTGGAATCCTCAGTGTCCATGTTTGGCCTCCTGGTCTGACATTGAGGACGGCCATGCAGGCAGCTGATTTCAGGGTGAGGGCTGTGTACAGTCTGTGGTGGGGGACCTTTCTAGGAACCTCAGGTCACTCCTGGAATGGCCCCCAGGTTTCTGGGTGGCTCAGGGCTTCCTGCCTCACACCCTCACCTCAGGGCTGCCCGGCAGCCGCGATTTAGAACACAGGTGGAAGGGACCTGCACTGTCACACAGCCTTCTTGCCACCTCACATGGGGGCCTGTCTCCACAGAGCATGAGAAGGCCCCAGGCACGGGTTCCCCTCTGCCCTCCAGGCCCTCCACGCCATGCTGGGGCTGGACTGATCCCACACCCGGCTGAACTCTTGGTTCTGGCTCTGGGTCAGGGCTTCCCCCGAATGCTGTCTGCCCAAATCCTGATTCTCTCGTCCCCCTGTCTTGTTATCTTGACATCCTTGGAGGGGCACTCAAGAATGGGGGGTCCCTGCTGCTTGGAGGTAGGGGTGGGGGCTTCCACAGTGGGGTCTGACTGCCCCGGTGTCCCTCAGGGCCCTTCAAGTGGGAGAGGGGAGCAACATGGAAAGTGTGGGAGGGCTGTTGGGGAGTCCTGCCCACAGCCCCTGCCTGCCCGCACAGCATGTCCAGCACATGTGCGCTCAGCACCTGCCCTGAGGACCAGCAGACCCGTTTGTGGTGCAGGAGGAAGGCCAGGTAGCAGGACTGGTGGGGCCAGGGCACTCCCCACCATTGACTGCCCAGAGGGTGACTCAAGAGGGGATCTGGTGCTGGAGCCCACCTGGGGGTGGCAGGTCCCAGTGTGTTCTTGTGAGTTTCTTCATGGATGCTAGAAGATTCCTGAGGATGGCATTGTCCTCCAGGGCCCAGCTCTGAGAGAGCTGCTCCTGAAACTCCGGGATGGTGTTCCAGGAAAGCTTCATGAGGAGCTCTAGGGACAGGGGGGCATCAGGCCATGAGGGTTCCCCGGGAAGGGTCAGTGCCCACACCCTGTTTCTACCAGGCCCACCTCCCACTGGGTAGTGCCGGGTCCTTTTGGGCCACCCAAGGTCGAGCTGTGCACAGGAGGCCACAGCTGGGGAAGGCCGTGCAGGGAAGTGCTCATCACACTCCTGACTTTCCTCTGGGTCACGTTGGGGCCCAGTGTCATCATGCCTTGCCTAGCCCCAGGCCAGACCCCCGACCCGATGAGGCAGGCAGTGTAAGGACAGGTCCCTCAGGCCAGCCGGGGTCTGTCCCGCGTGTTCCTTCACGCACCCTTGGGTACACGTGACTTACTCCTGTGTATTTTGAATGATGCATGCACCATGGCTGTCAGTACCCGCTGGCCCTCCAGGATGAGCACATCCCACAGTCGCAGGGTGAGCCCTAAGGATTTCTGTAGGGACAGCAGGTTTGAGAGGACTTGGCCAGGTTGGGGTTGGTGGCCTGAGCAGGGCCCATTAGGGTTTCAGTCCCCTGGAGTGGTGGGGACCCCTCTCCGTGGGATGAGACCCCCCCATGAGGTTGGGTCAGACAAAGTCCTACAGCTCCTCATGTGGGACTCTTCAGGGCTGTGGCTTCTGGAATGAGGGGCTTTCTGAGGACTTGGGGCTTCCTTCCCAATTTGGGTCCTGACCCAGTCTGCTCATGAGGCTGGGCCTGAGCCCTGGCCTCTGTTGTGAGATGCCCCCTCTCAGGCAGGGCCTGGTTTGTGTGCCCTGCAGGGACCTGCCTTTGCCTTCTGCAGGCTGGGGGTGAGCCAGGTCCTCCTGGGAAAGCCAGACCCCTGGGCTGAGGGAGCCGGACACTGCAGGGCAGGAGGGTCCCTGGGCTGGGGTCTCCCTGTGCCTCCTTACCCCGTCAACAAAACACCCGAAGAGCCTCATCAGCATGGAATCCTCAATGCACAGCCTTTCCTTGCCCTGAAGAAAGGAGCAGAGGTGCTCAGGGCCCCCTGGGTTTCCCTGAAATCCTCCCACTTCCAGGCCCTTCTGCAGACCCTTCTCAAATAGACAGAACCCAGGGCAGTGGCCAGGGCTCCAACACCTGCCCCATGTATGGACGCCCAGTGGAAACACTTCCCTCAGCCCTGCTCAGCTGCAGCTTGGCCCTGGTCCCAGCGCCTCTGCCTCCACCAGGGCAGAGAAAGGAAACCCAACTCTGAACCCATGGAGAATGCCCATCCCAGGTCAGGCCGCGGCTGGGACTTGGCCTCTTGCCAGCCCCATGAGGCGCTTGAGCCTCCCCTGGCCCATGGGACCCAGGGCCTCTGGGGAGGAGCCGAGGGCATCATTTACTCACCAGGTGTCTCATGGTCTTGGGGAAGTACTTGTGCAACATCTGCTTTTGGCGTGATAAGAGCTTCTGCAGCAGGGCTTTATTTGGGCTGTAGAATGCTGAGAAGGCCCCAACCCATTACCCGGTCAGAGCCCATTCCCAAGAAGTGGAGGCTTGAGCTGGAAGAGTGGGGCAGGGAGGGGGACCCTGGACCCTGAGGCCTCCCTCCCTCCCATCATGGTGACCCCTCATATGGCCTCAGACCTGGATAGGTGTGGTCTAGTTGGAGGTGCTGCCCAGTGGCATCCTGGATCCAGGTGCCAGGAGAGCAGGCATGCGTTTGACACCATGAGGCAGGTGCCAGCAGGGAGAACAGGGTGGGAGCTCAGGGCTATGTGAGCATCTCTTGGATGTGAGGTCAGGTTGGGGGACACGTGATGGGCAGACACAGCCATCTTGGCCTTGTTGGCCCATCCATTGGGAGGGAAGGTGGCTGGGAGCACAGCCAGCTAAGAGGCAGGAGGACACTCAGGAAGTTGAGCGGCACCTGCACAAAGTCAAGGCTGGCTTCGGTGAAAGAGGGTGACCAGGGGGAGGTATCGATGCCCTCTGCTGTTGGGGATGAAAGGCGTCTGACCTGACATGAGGGGGTCCCTGCCCAGACCCAGGCTGCTGTGGGATCTCAGCAGGGACATCCTGGAGTCTCCAAATGAGCTGGGATACAAGGAAGTTACCTTGCCTGGAAGTCGGGATCACCAGCCAGAGTGGCCGTCCCCTGGCATGGCTGTGTAAGGCACTGGGGAAAGATGTCCACCTACCTTGCAGGAAATGCCTTTTACTGTCCAGTAGTTGGGTCAGAGCCCAGAACGCATCTTCCTCTGGCAGATAGAGGAGGAGGATTGAGGTGATGTGGCTCAGGTCCCTGTGGTAGCACATCTCCTGCAAGAGCCAGATTCACTGTAGAAGGATGTCACCCGGGACGTTCGCATCACCAGAGATGGCAGAGGTCCTCAGGGACATCTGCCTCAGGCCACAGGGGATTTGAGGTGTAGCCTCTGCACTCCTCCCCTGGCCCATGAGGACAGAGCAGGTCAAACACAACTCAGTGGACAAGGAGCCTGGGGGAACCCCTGCCATGAGCGTTCAAGCTCACATGGCCCAAAAGGGCACAGGCAGGGATTGTTCATGCCCCTCCCCTGGGCCAGGCCTGGAGTAGGACCTATGAACTGCACGCACCATGAGGGCAGACGGCTGGGCGCTGACCCCCACACAAAGGTCCCACAACAACAGCCCAGGGGCTGCCTGCCGGGCACAGGAGGGTGGATGGGTCCAGACCCCATGTGGGCAGCCCGTGGAGTCAGCTCAGCGGCTCTCCCTGCCTGGAATGGTCTGGAAAGTGGGGGCCGAGCAGGAGCAGCCACCTGGGTGACCCCCTCCCCTATCTGCTGTGCTCCTATGGGGTTTGGGCAAAGGGGAAATTGTATCCGTTCCAGGTTTCCAGTGAACAAGAGGCTTCCTCAGGATGCAGACTCATTTCATGAGAAGAGCCTGGCCCATCAGGCACCTCGGCAACTTGTCAAACCTGTCTCCTGTGAGGGCCATCCTGTGTTGGACCCAGCCAAGCTCCCAAGCTTTGGGGCAACACCAGGAGGGGAAGGTCATTTCTTCATCTGAGACATCTGGGCCTCAACCCTTTTCTGCCAGCAGTGAGCTTGAGTCCCGCCTACTACGTTCTGGTGGGTCACGAACACTGAAATTTCACGAAGTGGGGACACCCCCGAGAGAAACCCATGCCTGTGAATATGGGAATATGGCCCAGGAATATGGCTGCCCGGGAATACTCACAGGGTTATATGCAGAGTAGGCCACGAGAATGTCACATAATTCCTGCTGACTGGAAAAGAGGGAAAAGAGAGTTTTGCTTGTTTTGTTCAGATTCTGTCAGTTTCATTTTGTCTACAAACCCGGACCACAAACACAATTCTGGGTTTGGATGATCCCCCAAATAAGCAGGGAGCTCTTCAGGACACCTGAGTTTTTAGGAATTGTTTCGATAAAATTCACATTCCTCGCAATGCAAATATCACAGGTGTGATCAGTGATCATTTTCACTCTGGTTGATCTTTTTCTTCCCCCCTTTCTGGGTTTGCACACATGGAAGTCCAGTCTTTGGGATGTACAGTTCCATGGCTCTGAACTAATGTGCAGGGCCTCTCGTCCACCACTCAGCCCCACCTGGAGCAGCTCCTTCATCCTCCAAGTCCCCAGCATGTCCCTTTGCAGCCGACCTCTCCGGGCTCCATCAGCCCCTGGCCATCCTGACCTGCTCTCTGTCTCTATGATTTGCCCTTTTCCTGAATGGTCTGTGAATTGGATTTCTGCAGTGGTAGCCTGTTGGGTCTGGCTTCATGCCCTCAGCAAGATGCATCTACAATCCACCCATGTTCCTGTGGGCATCAGGGGTTCATTCCTTTTCCTCACTGAGTCGTCTGTCTGAAGACCAGAATCCCCTTCCTCCCCAGTTCCTGTGTTGAAGATCATCTCGGTAGCCTCCAGGTGTGAGTGACAATCAATCAAGCAATGAACGTGGCATGCGGGTTTTACTTGCACGTCAGTTTCAAATCAGCGTGGTCAATATCTGTGACACTTCGGGGTTGTGTGGTACGAAGCTACTGAGCTTTGTAAGCTGTGGCCTATCTGACTTCTAAAGTGGCTGTGCCCTGTCCCATTCCCACCAGTCTTAGATGGGATTCCCACCAGTTTCTGGGGCCCAGCATCTTCCCTGGTACTTTGGGCTGTTAGTGTTGCCCAGGAAGGCTCCTGAACCATGGCATCCTGCTACCTTCCCATGGGTCCCTACCCTGGGCACTTGAGGGTCATGGAGAGCACTTTTCACCGTTCTGCATACATACATACATATATATATATATATTTTGCTTTTTCCTTTTGCTGCCTTTCATCTCCTTGGGAACCACCTGGATTCTAGCCCCACGCCTCCCAGCCTGGACCAGGGCTTAGAGCCCCAGAGGTGCTCAGTCCATGGTGCTGGCTGCTCCCTGGGGCTGGAGAGCCCTTGGTGGCTCTGTCACCCCTCCTGGGTGACCCTGGCCTCTGCCCTGGGGAAGCCCTCATTCCTCTGGATCGCTCCATCTTCCCTGGCACCCCTGCAGCCCCCATAGGTCTTACTTGACCCGAAGTCCTTCTGTGAACATCTTGTCCCAGAGATTGTACTTGACATCTAGCTTGATGCGGCGGATGATCCTGGGGGAACTCTTGCTCTTCTCCTTCATGACCTGTAGGGAAGGACCAAGAGGAGGAAGCAGCCTCAGAACAGACAAAAGACTGCCTGCCCCAAACAGCAGCCATCCCACAGTCAGCACTTCTGGAAGGAAAGGAGGAAGGTTTCCTTCTGCAGAAAGCTCTTTTTGCCTTGTTTCTGAAGCCAGGGAGGGTCAGCAGAGCCCAGCACACCTGTGGTGCGTGAGTGTCCGTCCTGGATGTGCGTCTGACCAGAACCCCCACCCCCAACCCGGGCTCCACGTTCCCTCCAGCTGGGGTCCCGGGCGCCTGCCACGGTCTGGCCTCTTTGTCCTGCCCTGGCTGAGTCTGGGAGGGCCTTACCCTGTATTTCCCAGGGTTTTCAGTCTTGATTTGGTCAACATCAAGCAGGAGTGCCCATGCCTGACCTCGTACTGCTTGGGGAATTTCTTTGTATACTATGTGGGAGAGCTACAGACAGAAGAAACTTCCAGTGAGACAGGACACGGGGCGGCTCCAGCGAGGAAAGCTGGCGAACAGGCCCGCTGTCCTGTAGTGAGGATGGGGTGCCACCCACCCACTGAGAGGCATGTGGTGCCAGGTCACAGCCATGGGTGCCTGTCTCCTGGCTCTGCAGCAATCAGTCATGGGGCCACTCCCTCCCCATGGTACCTTCTTGGTGTTTTTATATTTCGGCCAGCTTTTAAACACCTTGACCCAGTTCTTGATGCATATTGTATCCTGACTTCTTTGCTGTAAAATGAGGCATGATGGAGTTAGCTGAGCTGTCAGGGGTCTGGCAGCGGCCTGTGGATGCTGGGTCCTGGGCTTTGGGGCCCTGAAGGGACCCAATGGGAAGGAGCCAGGAAAGGGCAGACCCCAGGGGCGGAGACCCTCTGAACTAACTGCAGCTAGAAGTGTGGACTGGTGACCACAGGACACACCATCTTCAGGACACAGACGCCCTGAGTTTTGGTCAGCCCCAGGCTTCAGCTCGGGACTTGTGCAAACAGGTGGTTGACTCTGAGCCAGGACTGCAGTTTGCATTTTGGTGAAACCCTCATGGGAACAGAGTTCAGCAGGAATGGCTGCCCCTCCTCCCATTGATAGCCGTGGCCCACTCACCACCGCCCGGGCCTGTGGGCCATCCCCGCTGCCTCACTGACCACCTGATTCCCTGTCCTTGGACCAGTGTCCCACACAGCAGTCCCAGGCTCTTACCTTCACCTCCGGAATACGCACAGGGAGCAGCTCTGTCTCACTGTAAGGCAACCCAGGCAGAGCTGAGATCCTGCCCAGGCCAGGAGCCATCCCCCTCCCAGAGAGGGCCCCAGGGAAGGACCAGCCCATCCCTATCCACCCTAAGTCTCAGTCTGGAAGAAGGTACACGGAAGGAAGGCAAGAACCTCCCTGCGGAGCTGATGCCCATGAGCCGCCAGGACCCTAGAGAAGAGGGAGCTTGATGCTGGCCTGGCAGGGGCCACCTGGGGCCAGTGGGGTGCCTCCGGCTACACAACGGGGCTGCCCCTTCTGGGCTGGAGGCAACACCCTCTGTGGGAGCTGAGCAAGTCCAGTCCTGAGACAGGATGGCTGCCGCCCAGGGTGGGTGGCTGAGCCCTGACGGACAGCAGTGCCTTGTGAGTGACCACATCACCCGCCAGAGTCCAGGGAGCCTGGCCTGAGAGCTTCCCAGGGCCCTGAGGATGCACCTGGAGCCCGTCCCACAAGACACTCCCCACAGGCCTTGCAGGGTCTGATCTCCCAGCATGCACCTGCCTCTGCCTGCACCCTGGCCGCTGACCCTGCCTCTTCCCCATCTTCCCCCATCCTGCCCTGCCCAGAGACTATGACCCTCACTCAAGCCACAGTGGCCTTTCTGTGACCCTTGTCCTGTCGGAACCTCTGAGTGAGACCTCCCTGATACGTCCACACCCAGGCCTCGGCCACTCTCTTACTGGACTGCCAGCGAGACATTCAGGGTAATAGGGTGAGCATGGGCCCTGCAGGTAGTGGGTATGCCCCACCACCCTGCCTCCAGCCTCAGCTGGCTCTCAGGGTCTGACGTTCAGCCCTCAGCCTCCTCCCAGCCACTGCAAAAACAAGGACATGGGGTGCCTGGCTGTCCTCCCCCTACGGTTCTGCCTGCCCTGACTTTGCCCCCCATCCACCCTGTGCAGTGCTGAGTGAGCCAGCGGGAAGCAGGGTCTCTGGAGGGCCATACAAAGCCTTGGGGACTGACTGAGTCCCCCACCTGATGGGTCCCAGGTGAGCTGCTTTTCCATGCCAACCCCATCTGTTGTCCTCCCCGGACTATCAGCTCCACACTGGGCCGGCTTGGTTCAGGTGCTTCCCAGAAGTGGCAGGTCTCACAGGCTCACTCTGCTCCCTTCCCCCAGGCTCCTCCCTCTCTTGATCCTGTGAGTCCTGAGGGGCCGGCTCCAGGCTGGTCTCTGCTTCCCAGGCCAGAGCCCTTCCCAGCACCACTCTGGGGCCTTCAGCTGCATGCTTTGTTGTCCCCCAAGCCTCAGTGAGAAACCCAGGCCAGAGCCCTGCTCTTCTTCTTCACAACCTTCCATGGCCTGGGCCAAGACCCTCAGTGTACCCATGCCCCTTTTGATGGCTTAGCCCCCTGAGCTCTCAGAGATCTACTGTAAATCTACCCACAGGGCAGGCGAGGTGCCCCTTGCCCCATGGCCACAACCCTCAGATCTCACCTGAGCAGGCCCCAAGGGAACAGGCCCAGACCCTCAGGCTGCCCTGTCCTCTCCTGCTTGCTTGGAGACCACAGAGCTGAAAACCCAAGGACCTGTCCTAGTCCCCGCTCTGTCCCCACCCACTGTCCTGAGCTCCCTAGATGTGCCACGAGGCTGTGCCAACAACCCTGACCATGGGCTGGACCTGCAGGAGAGCCTGGGAGGAGTTCTGACCCTGGAGAGTAAGTTGGCCCGAGCCGGGGAGACATGTCCTGCTTCAGAGGGGCTTTTCTAAAAACAAAACCCATCGCTGAGGTTGGGGTCGGTGGCAAGGGGTGGGGTGAGGTGGACAAAGGACTCACTGCATAATCCCAAGGTGCTTGGTGTCTTTTTCATTATCAGCAGGCCCATGCCCCACGTCCACTGCTGTGCCAGCTCGGTGTACCTGAAATCCAGAGGTGGCCAGGGTAGGGGGGCAAGGTGAGGGTTATTCAGCCCAGTGATGTGAGAAGTCCCTCCCTGCCTTGTGACCTTAGGAAGCCAGGACCCTCTGACCAGGGCACAGAAGGAGAAGTGAGCCCCTGCCTCCCTTGAGGGAGCGGCCCGACCTGTACCTGGCAGATGATGTTTCCTTGTCCCTGGCCGGGCAGCATATCCAGGGCCTCATTCAGCTCCATCCTGCAAGACAAAGTCATCCAAGGTTCTGCTGCAGCCGAGAGCTCCAGAGAACACCCCAATCTCTCCCACTAGACTCCCAGACGCATTCCACTACCCCTTCCAGATGACAGGGGCCAGAAAGAGTGGCCCCACCCCTGACTCAATCTCTGGAGTTCTTGCCTCCAACCAGTGGTGGGCTCCTTCCTGAAGACTTGAGCACATGGGGACCTGAACAGAGAGGCCCATTGTCCCCAAGCACCCCAAGGCAGACACGCACCGGCCCCAGCAGGACAAACGGCGTCTACTTACTGAGGGTGAAACGCCTATGATGGGCTGTTCTGGGCACCTGGAGACATGTGGGGTCAGAAATCCTCCGGGGATTGTTCAGGGACCAGGAATATACTCAGTTTTCTGTAGGAAGCAAGACATCTGGTGACTGCTCTGTTCTACTCCAATGGTCACTCACTCTTGCCAGTGAAGCTGCTTCAGGAACACCACCAGCCAAGCCCTTTGGTCTGGGGAAATGATGATCTATTGACTCCAGAGCAGCCTCTGTGCTCGTGAAGACCCTGTCTCAGATGGGGGGGATGGCAGACTCCACAATTCCTAGCTGTCATGACAAGAGGGACAGACAGAGAGAATGGGACACGGTGGGTGGGTTCCAGTCCCTAAGCCCCTTTGACCAGAAGGTAGGATTTTCACCCTCCAGGCAGCCCTCCAGGGAGCCTTCATTTTCCACAGCTGCCTGAGGGCAGAGCACGGCCCCACCCCACTCCTAGACGAAGGACCCCGTGTGTCCAGTGGGTCCCACAGCAACCATCAGTGACTGCACCTGAAGTCTGAGTTGGTGAGACCTCATCCTGTGGGGACCCAGCTTAGGGCACAGACTTGGAGCAAGAATCACACCCTCCACCCCACCCACACTCTGTTGCAGTGACTCTTCCAGGACCAGACTCTGCCTCACTGGAGTCCAGAACTCCAGGAAGATTTGGAATCTAGGGCAGGGGGCCACAGAGGTCAGAGCTCAAGTCCAGCATGGCAAAGGGTAGGGCTGAGAGTACGGCCCAGGTCACACCTGGGTCTCTGGGCTAGTCACCACCTCTCTGACTCTCACATCTCACCTGTGGAATGGGTACATCTGGGGACAGCACCCACACCACAGAGTCGCTATGAGGACAAGGGAGAGGATGGTCCACCCAGTCAGTGCAGAATGTGCACCCGGTGAGTGCTCAGGGATGGCTCTCCTTGGCATCTGCCCAGAGGTCACTCACCTGAGTCTACTGAGGCAGTTGTCTCTCTCACTTAGAAAAGTCGTTTATGCACAGAACCAGACACCTGTGTGTGTTTTGTGTCCAAGTGCCGCACAACACACAGGTGGGCGGGTGGGCAGGTGGGAGGTCCCTCGGCACCAGTGACATTGTGAGGTCATGACACTCATCACAATGGTTCCATTGCCCAGGCCCAGAGGGCTCAGAGTCAGTGGCCTCCAGCCCCCAAGGTGCCAAAATGTGTTTGTGTGATGTGTTTGTGCAGGTGAGCATGCAGTTCCTGTGGGTGAACATGCGTGTGCGTGAGTAGCTTCTCTGGCCAGGCCTAGCTGTCCCACTGACATGTGCACCCAAGTTCTCATCAATTCCTCATCAGTGTCACCTTCCCTTGGGGCCTGTGGCCAGCATCAGAGCATCCATGGTCTTCCCCAACCTCAGAGCTCCCCACCCGGGGCAGCACTGAAGATGCAAATGGGGGTTAGTGGGTAGAGGGCACAGGGCAGGCCCCCTCATTAGGGGGAACTCAGCTAGACTGTAACATGCTAGGTGTGAGTGGCAGGGTCAGACTCCACACACCTTCTCACCTCCTCTTCCCGGTAGCCTTGCGGGCTGCCATGACTCATTTCTGCTATGGATGGAGGCAAGGATGTTCTAAGGACACACCCTGTGCCTGAGGTCACCCAGCAAGTATCTGGCCAGACCCCTGCTGGCCTGGCTTTCACTGTTTTCCCGGTGACCAGGCCTTCTGACTAGGTCCTTGCTGATCAGGCCCCTGATGACCAGGCTCCAACTGACCATGTCTCCACTGACCGGGTTTTCACTGACTAAGCCCCAATGGCCAAGACTCTGCTGACCAGACCCCTGATGACCAATTCCCCACTGACCACGTCCTTGCTGACCAGTCCCCAAGCGACCAGGCCTTCCTGACCAGGTCCCCACTGCCCAGGCCCAGAGCAGCGGTGCTCAACGTCCCCTTCCGCAATTACCCACAGGCAGACGGCTCCAAACCCTGGGCCCAGACAAGGGACCCCATGTGTCCAGTGGGTCCCACAATGACCATCGGTGACTGCACACGAAGTCTGAGTTGGTGAGACCTCCTCTTGCGGGGACCCAGCTTAGGGCACAGACTTGGACCGAGCACCACCCCCTCCACCCCACCCATAGGAGCTCCATCCCAGTGGCTCTTCCAGGGCCAGACTCTGCCCCATTGCGGGCTGAACCCAGACAGATTTGGGATCTAGGGTAGGGAGGTCACAGAAGTCAGGGCTCACACAGGGCAGGGCTGAGAGTCACAACTGGGTCCCTTGGCCAGTCACTGCCTCTCTGACCCTAGGCATCTCACTCACCTGTGATATGGGTACATTCGGGGACAGCACCCACCCTACAGAGTCTACCAGGTCGCTGTAGAACAGGCACCTGGTAAGTGCTCAGGATGACCCTCCCCAGAGGCCAGGACTGCTAACGAGGTAGCCACTGTCCCCAGGTCAGCAGGGAGGGAACAGAGCAGGTCACACTCACCCAAGTCTACGGAGTCAGCTGTGTCACTTAGAAAACTGTTTCTGCAGACTCAGACACCTCTATGTCTTGTCTCCAAGAGCTCCAGACACAGAGAGGGGAGGGGGGCAGGTGGGTGAGTGCTCAGCAGCAGTGTCATTGTGATGTCATGACATCCATCACAAGGGGCCCCTGCCTGGGTCAGCAGGGCCCAGAGTCAGCACCCTCCATACCCCAACGTGTCCACATGCTTGTGTGCAGTGTTTGTGTATGTCAGCATGCATGTGTTATGTGGGTGAACAAGTGTGCATGGGTGTGTCACTGTTCTGGCTGGGCCTGGCTGCCCCACTCACATGATCACCCAGGTCTCTGCGTCACCCTTGTTACTGTCTCCCACCTTGGGACCCATAGTCATCATCAGAGCATCCCCATCCAGGGCACTCCTGGAATTGCAGAAAGGGGGTGGGGGACAGACGATTGACAGAGTGAGACTCCATCTCAAAAAAACAAATTCTGCTCTATAACTTCACTTTTAACATTTTTTAGATAGTCCTGTTTTTTTGAGAGGGAATCTTTCTCTCTTGCTCTGTCTGGTGTGCACTGGTGTGATCTTGGCTCACTGCAACCTCCACCTCCCAAGTTCAAGTGATTCTTCTGTCTCAGCCTCCCTAGTAGCTGGGATTACAGGTGTGCACCGCCACACCTACTAATTTTTGTATTTTTGTAGAGACAGGGTTTCATCAAGTTGGTGAGGCTGGTCTGGAACTCCTGACCTCAGGTGATCTGGCTGCCTCGGCTTCTCAAAGTGGTGGGATTACAGGCGTGAGCCACTGCACTTGGCCAGAAGTCTTTTGACTTACACAAGTTTTAAAAAAATGTTGCCAAACGTACCAACTTTTATGACTTGTCTTTTCAATATTCATTTAAAACACTCTTTCCTTATCAATGTAATAATGATACTCTACATTTCTCTTAAAGTAATAAAATGTTGCTTTACATATTTAGCTTTTAAAATAATCTAGAATTTATCTTGGCATATAGAGTGAAGTAGGAATCTCATTTTATCTCTCCTCATGTAGACAGCCAACTGTACCAGCACCCTGTATTGAATAATCCAGATTCTTCTCACTGATTCATGATGCCATTCTATCAAATACCAAGTTCCTCATTTATAGGGAAACTTTGTGTTTTCCGAATGCTAATTCTTTGCCACCGATACATATTGTGAATGTCTTATCTCACTTTGAATTTCTCATGAATAGCAGCTCTTAATTTTAATTAAAATAATCAAATTTTATAGTTTCTATTTTATGTTTCATATTTTTGAATCTCTTTCTTACACTAAGCACCTAAAGATATTCTCTTATATTGTCTCTTAAATGTTTCCTAAGTTTTGTCTTTAGGCCTCCTCAAATTGATTGATTGATTGATTTTTTTTGGTATGGTCTGAGGTCGGATCTGTAGTAAATTGTATTATTTGCTCACAATTCTTTCTTGCCTTCCTCCGTGAGCCATGATTCATTTTGGACAGGATGTAGTGCCCCACGGTCTTTGAGCTTAACCATTAACCACGTGACTCGTCTTGGTGATTAGAATGTGAGCAGATATAATGTATGCCACACCCAACAAGAAACTTTAAATGTGTGGTTTGATTTGCTCTCATGTATTCCTTACCTGTAATATGAGAAGTGCACGCCCCAGGTAGCCACCACACTCCTTAAGCTTGGGTCAGAGAATGAGAGACATGTGGAGTAGACCAGGTCTGACCTGCAGCATCCCACAACTGACTCTGCGTGACAAATATGTGTTTGTTGTTACAAGCTACTGAGACTTGGGAAGTTGTTTGTTACACGGCATAGTCGCGGCAACATGGCTAGCACATAATCACATTGCTTTGTATTTCCCATATGGCTAACCAATTATTGAAATGTCTGTCCTTTCCACACTGATCTCCAGTACCAACTCTATCATAAACTAAGTTTCTCCACATATGTGATTCTCTTTCTGGCCTCTATTTTCAGTTCTATTTCTCTATTTGAATACCCCTATACCAATACCAACTTAGGAGAGACTATAACAATGTTATAATCAACTTGTTAAGTACCAAAGACACCCTGCTAGAATTTTGATCATAACTTCATTGAAAACATATATCAATTGGGGGGATTCCCATCTTTGCAATGTTGAATCTTCTGATCCATAAAGATTGTATGTCTCTTAAGTTCTTGATTTCTTTGAATAAAGTTTTTATAATTTCCTCTATAGAGGTCTTTTCTATTTGTGGGTAGCTTTAATTTTTGGGTTAATTTTTATGTTGCTATTATTAGTAGTATTTTATACAATCACATTTTAAAGGTTAATTTTAAATGTATATACTTTAGGATTTATGTGTAGATATTTTGGGATTTTTATCTAGACAGACATGCAAACTGCAAAAGCTGATCGATCTTTTCATTCATTTCCAATCTTATTTTTCTAATGCCTTACTGCTTTCATCAGGAGCTCCAGTGCAATTTTGTAAAGACATGGTGGTATCGGGAACCCTTGCTTGCCCCCAATATTAAGGGGAACATTGATAATATCATATTTAATGGTAAAATATTGAAAGCATTGTTTGAACATGTGCAGATGTCCAGTTTCAGCCACTTATCCTCCCACTGTTAAGTAACTAGAAAGTGGACAAGATACATAAAATAACTTATTTCAGGAAGTGCATGATTGTGATCCCTGGGAAAATGGAAATAAGTGAAACGAACCCTATAATTGCCTTGGCTTTTTGCCTGGGGGCAATTTCTGACAATAGGATAAGGGAGGAGGAATCTAAACAGAGCCTGGAATCCTCTCTGAGTTGAGAAGATCAAAGATGACCCCAAAACGTGAGCCCAGGGGAAGTTAGGTGATCTGAAACCATGTCATCTGGAAAAGAGTTAGAAGCCTTGGGCTGTTTAACTGGCGGTAGAGAAGACTGAGGGGCAATATGGAAACTGTCTTTAGAGATTAGAAAGACTGTCACGTTGAACAGGGGTTGTTTGTGTTCTGTATGGCCCTGAAAGACAGCATTAGGACGGCTGGATGAAATGAGAGAAAGGGGATTTTGGTGAAGCCCAAGGAAAAAGTTTTTAGCTATCATGGTTGATCAGACTGGAGTGGGCAGCCTTCCTCAGCCGGGGGATGAAGGGACTGAGTGAGCATGCTGGGCTCTTGCTTAAGGGGCTTCTGCAGTGCCAAGTGATTGACCTAAATGGCATCCAGGTCCCTTTTACTCTTCTTCTTTTTTTTAATTGTACTTTAGGTTCTGGGGTATATGTGCAGATCATGCAGGATTGTTGCATAGGTACATGCTTGGCAAGGTGGTTTGCTGCCTTCACCGGCCCATCACCTACATCTGGTATTTCTCCCCTCATTATCCCTCCCTACCCTCCCCACCCCCTGCTGTCCCTCCCCTAGCTCCCACCTTTTGGTGGGATGCTCCCCTCCCTGTGTCCACGTGTTCTAATTGTTCGACACCTGCTTATGAGGGATAACATGTGGCGTTTGGTTTTTTGTTCTTGTGTCAGTTTGCTGAGAATGATAGTTTCCAGATTCATCCATGTCCCTAGGAGGGACACGAACTCATCACTTTTTATGGCTGCGTAGTATTCCATGGTGTATATGTGCCACATTTTCTTTATCCAGTTTATCGATGATGGACATTTTGGGTTGGTTCCAGGTTTTTGCTATTGTAAACAGTGCCACAGTGAACATATGTGTGCATGTATCTTTATGATAAAACAGTTTATAATTCTTTGGGTATATACCCAGTAATGGGATTGCTAGGTCAAATGATATTTCTATTTCTAGGTCCTCGAGGAATCACCACAGTGTCTTCCACAATGGTTGAACTAATTTACACTCCCACAACAGTATAAAAGTTTTCCTATTTCTCCACATCCTCTTCAGCATCCGTTGTCTCCAGATTTTACTCTTAAAGTGTTTCATAGTTTGGTTTGCATAGCTTGGCCTCCATGAAATGCAGCTGTCACCAACTGACAGTACTTTTAGGCTTGTTGAGAAAAGTGAGTCCTTTTCTCAACCCTTGCCTCCCAACCTTTAAAAAACGGAGTAGACAGGGTTTTAAAAGAGAGTGTCCCCCACGCTTAACACATAATTTGTGTATATATATATATTTGAGATGGGGTCTTACTCTGACACTGAGGCTGGAATGCAGTGGCGTGATCATGGCTCACTGCAGCCTTGAACTCTTGGGCTCAAGCGATTCTTCTCCCTCAGCCTTCCAAAGTGCTGGGATTACAGGAAGCAGCCACCATGCTTGGCTTGTATTTGTATTTTTATTTGGTTTCTCACCTCTGTATGTCTTTTCTTGAAGGCAGGGTCCATTTCATATACATGTTTTCATGTTCCAGTAATAAACTGGTAGTATGTGCATAGCAGGTTCTTCTTCAATACCTAAGTGAATGCAAGGTGTATTAGTCCATTTTCACACTGCTATAAAGAACCACCTGAGACTGGGTAATTTGTAAAAAGAAGAGGTTTAATGGACAGTTCCGCATGGCTTGGGAGGCCTCAGGAAACTTACAATCATGGCAGTAGGTGAAGGGAAAGCAAGGCACATTTTACATGGCAGCAGGAGAGTGAGAGAGAGCGGGGAACTGCCACATACCTTGAAATCAGATCTCATGAGAACTCATGCATTATTACAAGAACAGGATGGGGAAAACCATTCCCATGACCCAATCACCCCTACCAGGTCCTTCTCTGGACATGTGGGGATTACAATTCAAGATGTGATTTGAGTGAGGCCACAGAGCCAAACCATATCACAAGGTGATTTGGCCTGAAGAAGGTTTGGAAAACCTTTGTCTCATGTTCTCCTCTCCCTCTTGTATCCAGGGCAGACATTGCTAGTCAACCATGGAGCTCTTCTCTA